AAGGGATGCTGAGGTTACGATGGGCTGCGAGGGAATGATGCTGAGGGGATGGCGGAGAAATGATGAAGGGGATGCGCGGGCTAGGGATGCTGAGGGGATGCGCGGGAGGGATGCTGAGGGAATGCGGGAGCAGGGATGCTGAGGTTGCGGGGATGCGGGAGGAGCTGAGTTGCTCGGGGTGCCGGGGACGGATGTTGAGGTATGCTGGTGGCTGCGGGGAGCGGATGGGTGAGGTATGTGGGGCTGGACGGGGAGGGTATGCTCGGCGGGTGCGGGAAAGGGATGCTTGCAGGTACGATGGGCTGCGGGGATTGATGCTGTAGGGATGCGGGGACGGGAATGCTGGAGGGGATGCGGCGGAGGCGATGCTGAAAGGTCATTGCTGGGGCTGCGGGAAGGATGCTGAGGTACGATTGGGGCGCGGGGAATCGATGCTGAGGGGAATGCGGGGAGGGAGCTGCTGGAGGGGATGCGGGGAGAATGCTGAGTCATGCTGGCGGGCTGCGGGGAGGGTGCTGACGGTTACGATGGGGCCGCGCGGAATTTTTTTTTTTGATGCTAGGGGGATTGCGAGGGAGGGATGCTTGAAGGTTATGCTGTTCGGTGCGGGCAAGGAAGGATGCTTGAGGGGATCGGGGAGGGATGCTGCGAGGTATGCTGGTGGTGCGGGGAGGATGCTGAGTCGATGGGGCTGCGGGGAATGATTGCTGCTTAAGGGGATGCAGCGAGGGATGCTTAATAGGGGGCGCAGATTACAATTTCAGCAGCGATAACATGCTTAATTCAGCTTAACTTCACGACACGATGAGATTCGATGAGGTTGGACCTTCAGCGATGGTTGGTGTGTGCGCTGTGTGCATGATGTCAGGTCTTTATATCATCGCTGCGTGTCACCTGCTTGCAGTAATTTCTTTTGCGATCGTCATCGTGTTTTGCTGGAGATCGTCCGCCTGTTCGTTGATTCCTTCGAGAAACCGCAAGGATGGGTATCATCTCATCATTATATCATGCTCTAATCTCGTTATATGATATACATCAGTGTGTTATTCTTATATTGCATGATTATATCATGCTCTATATCTTCTTATGATGATATTACACCATGCTTAATACTTTTATTATATATTATATTCATGCTCTAATTATTTATATAATATTATTTCATGCTACTTATCTGTTTTATGATATGTATATCATGCTCTAATCTCTTTGATGTATTACAGTCATGCTCTAAATCTTCTTAGTATTGATATTATATCATTGCTCTAATATATTATGATATAATATTATTCATGCTGCCTTATTCTGTTTTATGATTATGTTATCAGGCTCTTAATCTCTCTTATTATATTAATCATGCTCTAATCTCTTATATAGATATTTTATCACTGCTCTTAATGTATATTAGTATAATAATTATTTCATGTCTTATCTGTTTTTATGATATTAATATCATGCTCTAATCTCTTATATGATTTAGTATTCATAGCTGTTATCTCTGTATAGTAATATTATATATGCTCTTATTGTTTTTATGTTTTATATCATGGGGGCTCTTATCTTTTTTGTATGTATATTAATGCGTTATCTCTTATATCATATTATAGTCATGCTCTTATCTGTTTTTATAGGATATTTATATTCGATGCTTAATCTCTTATATACATATTATATCATGCTCTATCTGTTTTATGATATTATATCATGCTGTTATCTCTTATATAATATATATAATGCTCTTATCGTGTTTTATGATATTAATATCATGCTCATAATTTCTTAATTGATATTTATATCATGGCTGTTATCTCTTAATAATATTATATCAATGCTCTTATCTGTTTATAATGATATTTACATCATGCTGTTTCTTTCAATATAATATTATTTTCGATGCTCTTTATCTGTTTTATAGATATTACATATTGCTGTTATCTTATCTCTGTAGACGTATAATATTATATCGGATGCCTGCTTATCTTATATGTCATTGATCATATGATCATGCGATAAAATAAATAAATAACGGTATAACGTATATAATACTTATATAATATATAGTATATATAGTATAGTTATATATTATATATATTATGTTATTTATATTTATTATATAAAGTGAAACGACGTCTATAGCATAAACACCTGTCTACAAAGGGACATTTTTTGGGCCGTTTTTCATGGACCCGAGGACTGGGCGGGTCAGTGTTCCGACTTGTGCAAGTCTGTATATGCTCTGTACATGATACGTGCCCCCCGCCCTGTGTTTGTGTTGTTGTTAGATCAGCGGTGCAGTGAAGAAACGTCTGCTGGATAACATACGGTTTGAGTACGATGGTGATGGAACGACAACCCGCATGGCAATCGGCAAGATGTGGGACGTGTTTCAATACGACGTGAGGTACAGTCCGCGGGGGACAGGAGAGGGGAGGCTGAGAGACGGGGGAGAGAGAAGTGTCAGGGAAGAGGAGAGAGGAGAATACAGACGGAGAGGAGAGGAAAGATAGGCAGGGATGGAGAGGGGAGGCGAGAATAAGGACAGAGGGATGAGCGAGAGGAGGGTCTAGAGAGAGAGCAGACGAGGAGATGAGAGAGGTCGGGAGAGAGAGAGCGAAAGAGAGAGAGAGGGGTTGAAAGATAGAGAGGCAGGGAGGGAGAGGGGCGAGATGAGAAGGACAAGGAGGGATGAGGAGAGGTCAGGTTTAGAAGAGATGAGAGAGAGGAGAGAGATGAGAGAGAGAGAAAGAGAGAGAAGGAGAGTAGAGAGAACGAAGAACGGGAATGGCAGAGGATAACTTGCAGGTACTCTCTCTCTCTCTCTTCGTCGCTCTCTCTCTCTTTCGTCGCTCTCTCTCTCTCTCTCTCTCTCTCTCTCTCTCTCTCTATCTTGCTTCTCCCTTCGCTCCATCCATTGTTTATTTGCTCACCCAGAAGATGACATTGAAGACGATGAACGTCACTTTGAGGCACGTAAAACCGGCCGCCATGTTGTCTTTTCTTCCAAGTTACCTATCAAAAACACAAATCTATAATCGACTACTGAAGACCGATGCAAACCATCTAAATATAGCGAGAGTAAAATCTGGGTTGGGACATCTCCATAGGGCGAAGGCCAGTCTGCCAATGTTGTTGTTTTCGTTTCTGTCACCAGTGGCAGTTCTACCTTGCAAATAACCTCTGCAGAACAGACATATCTGTCAGTAAACGCGTATATACTTTAAATTATACTTTTCAGCCATCTTGAAATTATGCAAATTAACCATGTTCCCGGAGTCAGATTTTGGAAGACATTTTTTCTGACAAATTTATGACTAACTGATTTGATTAAAGCAAAAAAACCTTTTGTGTGAACCCTTTTTGGGGGTTATAGCTATAGGCCATTATTTTTCATATATTGACCCGACTACTTCCAGGGTTTCCTTCTGAGACTCTAATTACACACATACAGGTTTGATACGCATTTCAACAATAAACCAGAGGAGTGCCCGCGTTGACCCGCTACATGGGCGTGTGCCTATAACTCTCTAGTATTTGACCCCGTTCAGCAGTTGTTCCCGTGATAATCCTGCAACTCTGTCTATAGACTCGACACAGTTCAACCAAATTGCACTGCCCGGCGTGCAATTTTGTTTTCTCTTGCTTATTTATCGCTTAGCGGTTAACCAAACAGCAGCAACGCGTTCATTAGGTATCTGTCCTTACAGGATTGACATACTAATATCAGCGTGCACACACAAGCTAAATCACCGTACAGCCATCACACAGTAGAGCCATTCATTCCCCCTCCCCGCCCGCGGGAGCGGCACACATACCGTCGTCTCTCTCTCTACTCGCCCGCCACCTTCTCTCCTCGCGTTTCCACCCGCACGCAATTCCCTTCCTTTCCTCTCTATTCGGGGTAACCAAAAGACCAACGTCTGCACAGGTGGAATATCTCAAAACTCCGACCAAGACGCGCCTCTTATCCAGTAGGAGCGCACTTACCTGTCGTTCCCGTGCGTTGGCTGTCGCGTGGCACCCGTTTGATACCTTTCCTTCTGCACTGCCCGGCTGCACTGTGCCTGTGTGTGTATGTGCGTATGTGTGTATGTGTGTGTGAACCTCCCATTAGCACATTCCACTGCCGTTCCACATCGCTGGAGCGTGGTGCCGGGTATATATATATATATCGCGAGCATCAACCCCTCCCACCCGCCCACCGGCCATCAACGACGACCCTGCAGCAACAGCAAACCTGTTCCCCGTTCACGCGTCAGCTGCCACGCCGAAACAAGCGGCCGCAAGTCGCGTTGCCGTGGCGACCGCAGGACAGACGACGACACGGCGACAGCAGGTTTCCCTTATCTACTATTGTCTCACGTGAACCCGCTCAGTTACAAAATGTGGATGCAATAAGCCAATGATGCAGATGTAGGGATAGCAGAGATGTAGACTTAAGGATGCAAATTCAGAGATGCCGAATATATAGTTTCATTGATGTAAGGTTAACAGAGATGTAGATTCAAGGATGCAAAATTAGAGATATAGCCCAGCGATAAGCACATGGATTGTTGACTTTTACAGTGATGTCTATAAACGCGTTAGACACATCAAAACGTTCGTTAAAAGTTTGTTAAAATGACACAACTAACATCGATTAGGAAGCTGGCCACAGTCATGAGCGACCGTGAGGTATTGAGTGATATCTGCTGTTCCCGACTCAAGGAAGCATCATGTCCACCTAGCTCCAAGAAACGGTCCTTGCTAGGGTTAGGAGACCTGGGTATACTGACGTTAGTCACACATCCTGGTCGGGTTACATGCCCACCTTGGTCGACGTAGTAGTAGTAGTAGTAGTAGTAGTAGTAGTAGCAGTAGTAGTAGTAGTAGTAGTAGTAGTAGTAGTAGTAGCAGTAGTAGTAGTAGTAGTAGTAGTAGCAGAATATCTGTTGTCTGTGTTTTCCTGTGCGCGCTGTATTGGGTTCTTTTGTGTGTTGCTTGGGGTCGTTTTAAAATATCGTTTTCCTAGGGCTGCACGTACTCGGACAGCAACGCACTCTCTCTTATCGTATTCGAACAGTTACATGAAAATTAAATCTACATGACACATGAAATAACTCATTAATGAAATTTTATCATAATTCGTTTTAAACGCGGATTTATTGAAATCGTAAAGTAATACAACTTGTATGGCTTGTGTAAAGAGCAAGTGAAACAAGCTTCGTATCAATGTGGCGCCACCTGTGGGCATAACTACACACAAACAGTCGAGCGCCCGACTCCTGCCGCAAAACTCAAAATGCAAAAAAAAACGTAGATGACATTTGCACAAAACAACAAGAGAGCGTGCAAAACGAGTGAGAAACTCGCGGGATTCGGCGAGATCCCTCGAATGTCCGCGTCAACACAAAAACAATTGGCGCATCGTGAGCCACGTCTCTGCCGCAATTCCGTCGCCTTCGCAAAATATGAGATTCTGGCGCCCTCTAGAGGGCAGTCACAAACAAAAACTAGGTGCATGATGACTAGACTCGCGACAAGCGAACGCCTCTCACAGACGAATGACAAGCGAACACCTCTCACAGACGTGCGACAAGCGAACGCCTCTCACAGACGTGCGACAAGCGAACGCCTCTCACAGACGTGCGACAAGCGAACGCCTCTCACAGACGTGCGACAAGCGAACACCTCTCACTGACGTGCGACAAGCGAACACCTCTCACAGACGTGCGACAAGCGAACGCCTCTCACAGACGTGCGACAAGTGAATGCCCCTCACTTACGTGCGACAAGCGAACACCTC